GCTCTGCTTCAAATTATATCATAGCATCATGGAGTACATCAAACCAACATGATGATTTCGACTAACCGAGGATACACCTTTTTCCCAGAAAAAACATTTGCAGCTTTTTCAAAGTCGTTTTGAGCTTGCATAAGGCGCTCGCCATACATGATGGTTTGGTCCTCTTCATCTGCTTGATCCGCCTGATCTGCTTCATTTGAAACAAGCGCTTACTAATTTCTTATTTGACGTGGCGTAGGTAAGAAGAATTTTGTATGGCTGCGCTTCGCTTTACGCTACGCCAAATGACAAATTAGTGAGCGCTCGTTCTACACGAAGAGGACCAAGTGGATCAAGCGGATTAAGAAAATCAACATGGTGGTGGCTGAGAAAGCGGAACCCGACTATCACTGAAGATGCTTCCGGTCCCTTTATGAATCTCGTTTTGAATGCCGCTCACCAAATTCTTTCCTTGTAAAACCACGTCAGCACATAAGTAGGACCGTTATCTAAACTTCCATTCATGTCCATCAAATCGATCTTTCGCCGTATAGCTAGCGTACTTCGACGAATTGCGGTAACACAACAGACCAAAAAATATGCCTCAGCTTCGAATTCAGAATCGTTACCATCTGAGAAAGTGTAGCAAAATACCGAAAATTCTGTAGGATTCTAATAATTAGTATGACTTCGATCTGTCGTATTGACGAGCGGCGGCGTTTTGTTTTCTCTCTGAGTGCTTGTTGATTTTCGTGTTCATTTAAGTCGCTTTTGTTCAACGCTCTTCCTTTTGACTTGCTCCTACCTCGACCCAGGTTCTACTGCTAATTCGGTTTCTGTTTTTCGGTTTATCGTGTTTTTCATTGCCGGTTTCACCTTCGGCTGGTTAGGCTATTATTTTTTGGTTGTCCTGTCCTGGTATTGAATATTGTAGATCAAACGATGTCTCCTCGTACACGTTCGCAAAAAGTTCAGGGATCAAAAGGAGCATCGCAAACTTTAGCACCTGCACAAGGGGGTGAAACCAGCAATGATGCAGGGACCCAGGGAGATGATTATAGTGGGATGTCCGTGCAGGATCTAATAGCGTCTATTTCTGCATTAAATAAGGACCCCACTATTCAGAGAATGCTTTGTGCATTATCTGAAAAAATTTCTGCAGGGCTATCCGGAACACTCGAGGCTGAGAAGCGCTCGAGAAGCCTGGTGATAAGCGGGGTGCAAGAGCCTCCGGAGGGGCTGCGTCCGTCACAGCGTCGGGCGTATCTCCAAGATAAGGTTGGAGATATACTCGACGCTGTGGACGTCGACTGCACCCCTTCGGAGGTGTTCTGGATGGGGAAGAGGAGCGACTCGCATCAGCGCCTTATTAAAGTAGTAATGCCCTCCAGTTTTTACTGGAGGAGGGCGCTGGCTAACGCTCGTTTCCTCCGTCATGCTTTTCCAAACGTATATATACGGAAAAGCATGACGGAGGACGAGCGTAAGCATGAGTACGAACTGAGGAAAATGGCGCGTGAGAGAAATAAAAATAAACCTACCCGTGAATGGGTGGTTTATATTGGCGAGTTGGTGCGAGCATCAGAGTTGAGTAGGCCAAGGTCGGAAAACGCATAGTCCCGCATGGTGCTCAAGACGGAATTAAGGTTTGCCTTTTGAATGCAAGAATTTGTTGAAAAAACTCCATCATTTACAAAGTTTTTTAAATCAATATAAACCCGATATCCTTTTTATTACTGAAAGCTGGCTGACAAGCAAAGTCAATGATAGCGAAATAGTAGGGAACTTACCGTATCTTGTTTCTCGTTCAGATAGACATAACCGTAGAGGCGGAGGTGTCTGTTGCCTATTGAAAGCACTCTTCTGTTTAAATCAACTTTTTCGGATAGTAGCACTATGTCGAATATTCTCGGTATTGACATGTCGCTTTCTAGACAAACCTACATTTTTGCGTTTCCTTGCGGTTTATCGACCTCCCAATAGTACCCTTGAAAGTGATGAACACCTCATCGAATTGATGTTCATCTTACCAATGAGTATGAACACACCATTCTTTTGGGTGACTTTAATTTACAAATTGATTGGAGCGAGTAACGCCTCTGAACAAGATTTCGTCTACTTTCCTTGAATTTTTTCGTTACTCGAATTTGACGCAACATGTTATGGAGGCAACCCATTTATCCCATGTTTTGGATCTTATTTTTTCCACTAGCCCTATCATCTCTGGTGTTCGCACTACTGCTCCCCTTGCAAACTCTGATCATAAAGTAGTACATTTCATTATAAAGAAAAGTATCCCTCTTGCGCTCTCTCTACCTAGACCCGATTTTCGGAGGGTTGATTTTGTTTCGCTCAATGCCCATCTTGCCGCAGTTGATTGGTTGAATCTGTTTGACCAGTATGAATCGACTGACGACGTTTACTACAGATTTTGTTTGGTAATATATAATGCTTTGTCGATTTTTGTGCCTTTCAAGCCTGCTACCCAGGCTCAGATGAGATACCCGATGCACATCCAAAATCTTCTCGCACAGAAAGAACGCCTATTCTATTCTCTGGCAAGTCCATTATCTAGCCCCATGTATAAAAAAGTGTGTCGTGATGTTGAGGTTCATCTGAAAAAATTCTTGTCCAATTACGAGCGAAGGCTTTCTATGAAATCCTCGTCTAGATTCTTTTTTCAATATATTAACGACAAAATCAAACGTAATCGTCGTCTGCCATCCATAACTGGTCGAATGGGTCAAACATTTGTCACAGATTGCGAAAAAGCTGAAGCTCTAGCGCTGCACTTTGCCAGTGTATTCAATTCGAGTACTCGTATTTCCGAGATGGACTTCTTCACACCCACTCCCGTTTATCATCATTGCCTCTCGAGTGTTTTTTTCACCTCCTATGATGTTTTGAGGTATCTGATCAAACTTAGACCTTCTTTCACTGAAGGCTATGACGGGATACCGCAGATTCTTTTCAAGAAAAGTGCATCATCTCTTTGCGTCCCACTCGCACACATATTCAACATATCTATGATGTTAGGCGAGGTTCCACAGATATGGAAAGAAGCGTTAGTAACGGCAATTCCCAAAGTTCCTAATGCGTCTTTTCTGACTGATTTTCGCCCCATCAGTTTGACTCCAACAGCAGTAAAAGTAATGGAGAAGGTGCTGCGGGATAAGCTACTTACATGGCTTGAAAAAACCAAAACTATTCCACCCAGTCAGCATGGTTTCATGGCAGGGTCTTCCACAGCCACTAACCTTGCTGACTCAGTTTTTGATTGGACTCTAGCTTTGAACAGCGGTGAATCAGTAGACATTGTTTATATAGACCTTTCGAAAGCATTTGATCGAGTTGATCATAAGAAGCTTGTGTGGAAACTGGAGCGAATCGGTGTGAGTGGTAACCTTTTGAAATGGTTTGAATCGTATCTGTGTAATAGAGCCATGACAGTCAAAGTAGGGCACTATTGCTCGGATAGACAAGCTTGTGTTAGTGGTGTTCCACAAGGAGCAGTTCTTTCTCCATTACTTTTTCTGGTTTATACCGCTGATCTCCCGTCGATCTTGAGAACATCCGAGCATATAAAAATTCAAATGTATGCGGACGATATTAAGATCTACGGGAGCTATAGCGCGAAAAATCGTGATGAAGTTAGATCTGCAATAGAGCATTCCCTGGAAAGAATGATAGAGTGGGCATCATTCTCCGGCATCCCAGTAAATTTGAATAAATGTTTTGTCATGCATTTAGGTGATAACGAGAATCCTGTTTATGAGATAAGTGGAACGGTGTTGAAGAACTGTTTCATTGCTAAGATTTTAGGAGTTCTAATAGATAATGACTTGAAGTTCTCGCATCACATTGACAACGTAGTTAATAGAGCATACACAGTTCTTTTTTCTATCCTCCGATCTGTTCATACCGACAACCCATTGATATTAAAGCGTTTATATAAAGCGTACGTCTTCCTCACCTCGAATACTGTTCTGTGATATGGAATCCTTTTTCAAAAAGAGACATTTTTAGGTTAGAAAAAGTTTGACAAACATTTACTCGCATTTTGTTTCTGAGATGTCGTAAAAGATTAGCTTTCGATGAAATGCCTAAATATGAAGAACGCCTCAAGTCTTTGGCAATGAAGAGTCTGGAATTTAGACGAACTTATCTAGATCTTATTTTCGCTTTTCGCCTCCTTCGTAAGGAAATTAGGCTTAGCGCAAGTAAGTACTGGATTTTCAGACCTAGTAGTAGGACGGGTGGGTTTAACATTCATTACCCACGTATTTATAGGAAACGCTTTCTACGAACATTTAATACTCTTTTTTACAGAACACCTAGATGGCTTAGCAGGCTTCCACTTTCGATGTTATCATCTGTTGAATCAGGTGTTTTTAAACGTAGAATAGCGTAAGTTGACCTATTACAAGTTAAGGGTTTTCATAACTACTGAAACTACTTTCGCTTCCCGGTTTTTTTTTCAGGAATGTCGCGTCCCTTTTTTTCTGTCGTCCTCCAACACGACACATAATTCCACATAGTTTTTTGTTTGTTTGCAAAGTGTGGTGTTACTAACATTTGATATATATATATCATTATTTACGTTTTAGTTTTTTTCCTGTCACTAACCCCAATTTTCTGGCCGACCACACACCGCTAGGTTCGTCGTCCTGAAATTGACTTGAGAGTTTTCTTGGAGAACTTGACGTTCATGGACCACATGCTCCATGTCTGAGGGAAATTGCTTCATACATACATACATACATACATACATATGCGTCTGGCTTTTCCCCTGCTACTGTACTGGGTGTGTGGTCGATTGGTTATCTGCTGTGTTTTCTGCTCTTTTTTGGCGCATTTCTAAGTGCATTTAAATAAATAAATAAATAATTGAGCAATGCCGCGAATGACGCAAAATTTCGGGAATTTGGAGGAGTTCCGCGTCATTCTTGGAGACTCCGCATCTTCTGTGACATGCAATGTCCTTCATATCCCTCTCATTCTTTCAAAAACTTGCCACGTACCTTATAGCAAGCATCCGTTTTGGCGAAGAGTGTCCACTCACTTTCGCAGCGTGCAGGGAATTCTGAAACACAATCTCAATAATGCAAGCAAAATTTCAAAATATTAACACCCCTTAAAAAGGTTGGCTTCTCGCGTGTCAGCAGGACACCATCATATACACCATCATTCGATTGCTCCAAATGTTTGTAAAAATAATCCGAAGAGTGGCCAAAACAATAAAGGGGGAACTTTCGAGCTTGTGTATGAATGTATGTATGTATGTATGAAGCTTATGCCTCTAAATAGCAGACCGGCTTCGCTCGTTTTGGATCACATTGTTACAAAACTCATAATTCTTCAACATGCTAGTGGTCAAAAGTACCGTTTACCCGTACTGAGGTCGATGAGTGATGCCTAACAGCAGCGGGCCCCAATTGTTTGACTGCTCATTGCTGCTGAAGGTTGCCTTCGAAGCAAGAGACGAATTCGCCACTTGGCTTTTCCCACTGAGTGGTTAGTACGTTTCTCCCGCCTATTCAGTGATCCCCTAGGCGAAAAGGTTAAAACATTGATCAGTTTATCCGGAAACGCACAAATGACACAGCGCTTTTCTGTGTCTATGCACTGTAGCTGACCGACAGCCGCAAGACGTTTTTGTCCATATGGATGAAGGTCATCCAAAACTCAATAATTTATTTTTGTTTGATTTTAGGCCTAAAATTGGACTCAGCGTGCGGAAGAGGTGTGGGTGTGGGTGGACGCCCTTTGAGGTACTCGCTATCTTTTTGTGCAGCTGCTCCTATTCGCCAACTTGGGCTTCCCATGACGCATAGTCCGGCACATTATGCATGCGACTATTCAAAATTAAGTTATATATCAACAACTTATCTTAATAATCTTAACTTGAGCGAACTTATATGTTCTCTGAACAGCATGCACACTTTTCTCGGCGCACCGACTTTGAGTCTTCCAGCTTTTGCTTGGAGCTTCCAAAAATTGAACAACAGCATGTTTGCTTGCCTACCAAGTGTCAGCACCGTTTCCAAAGAATGCCAAGACTATAAACAGTAACCGATAGATAGAAAAAAGAGTGGGCTATGACATCTGCTTAGTATCGTTATGTGCGTTTGCAAAGTTTGGTCCAAATCGCCCAAAATAATTATCTTTGACACTCATATTACACTCAGGCATCCATACATAGTACACACAGACAGAAATTAAGTTTAACATACAAGATCGTGGCGCTCCAGTTAGTAATTCAATTGCACTTTGGTTTCCTTGCGTTTTAAGAAAAATGAGATGGATTGCGATTTACGAAGCAAGCAGCTATGCTGAATATATCAAGTAAAATTTTGAAAGGGACAAAGGTTACGAATTGTTATAAGAGATTTGTTAATTTTTTATGGTCAGCGCGGTTGAACATTCATCGAGAATATAGCAGACTTGTTATGGTGTAATGACACACACGACACACAACACAAACACATCTTTTTTTTATATTCTTACAGCTTGCTTACCCGGCTCCGAAAAGGCTGAAAAAATAAGGCTGAGGTCTGTCCGTCTCTGTGTATCTGTATGTACGTTTTGAATAGAAATCTTTGTTGGTGGATCGATCTTGACCAAACTGTGCGCGCATACGCTTCGCGGTGGGGTGGGTGTCGTACATACCTTCAATACATAGAGACATGTACTCTGGAGACTTTCACTTTAAGCAACATAAGAGAACACAACCTTCACCAGGAAAAATAGAAGTCATCCGGGAGAAGCACCGGATGTTGAGATTATATAACAGATCGAAGTTAATATAAGTGAACTGAGTACAGTGATAACTAGCTTGCTTACCCGGCTCCGCTCGGCCCTGTCAAAACACTGTAATAAAGGTCTTATCTCTATCCCTGTACAGCCTTTCCATGTGCCCACTTCTACAATTCATTTCCCGTTCCCTGTGTTATTTTCGAAATCAGCATACCCACTTACCCCTGTGCCAACTCCCAGCCCTCAGCTCAAACTTTGAAAAAATCGATATCGATAAAAGTAATCGATAATTTTGGAAACTAATATTGTATTCGGAATCGTCATGCCCACTTACCCCCTGTGCCAACTCCCAGCCCCGTAGGTGAACTCTGCAAAAAAATCGATAAAAATCAATAAAATCGACATCGATCGATGACGAAAAGTAGCCTATGACACCCGCCGGGCCCGAAGTGTATGTGTCCCAAGTTTGGTCCGAATCGGTTCAGAAATAAAATCTATTCCACACATACGTACAGACAGACATACAGACAGACAAACACACATTCAGCTTTACATTTAAGATTTCTAAGCGTCACTTGTCACTATCAACTCCATCGCTGCTTCAATTTCGGCAACCAACGTGCTGTGAATGGCCAATGTTTGAACAGCTCGAAGGGCCAGTTGTGTGTTTTGACTCTTAGATAAGGATCTTTGTTGCTGCGCAAAGAAATTCGCCTACTGCCACATTCTCGCAACAATGCTCAGATACCCTTCTAAAACTTTGAGTCCTCAGCATGCTAAACAGCCGCAACGTCTCCAGCTCTGGAATGTTGCAAGACCCCTGGTTTTGTGGCTTAAGTCGTTTTATGGAATAAAGCATGTGTCACCAACCTGCATTAGATGCACTAAGATGAGAAAGACCATGGAGTTGGTTCACTCCTCTGAAAACTCAGCTTTTTTTCAATCTTGTTAAAGTAATTCATGAACCTGGGTAATTGTTCAGTGGTGTTCAGATTCACGAAGGCCTTTATTGATGGAATCAATAGGACGAGGAGAAGCTTCAATGAACTCATTCTGGAACATTTTTACTTTCGCTTGGACATAGAGTGACCGCCAAAAAGTTGCGGACAAGCCGCCTTGCTTTTTTCATCGCTCATTTCCGGATGGAAAACAAAGATGAAAAAATGATTGAATTGCATGAGGTGATAGAGCTCTTCAAGAGTTACAACCCATACATTGCGCTTTCTGGAAAATATTTATTATAAAAACTTTAAAAATCTTTTCCTAAAAAAAGTCCGGAAATGGCGCATCACAATGTCGCGGACATTAATTCTTCGAACGCAAAAAATTTCTTTTAGGTCTTTTCTTGGAGCAAAAACAGAAACTTTCCGGACAGGTAAGCATACAATGTTGTAGAGCTCATCGAGGACAACAATCGGGTAGTGGTTACTTCCAAAAAAACTCAAGCTTGAATTTTATTTTGCTTTTTTTTCAAAAATAACTTCTAATTCCTCTTTTTAAGCCAGATTTCTTCGCATGGGAACCTATTCAAGATATCCCAATAAAGCTAACTGGATAAAATGGATGCCTTCTGATATCTTCTATGCATCCGACGTGTGCTGTCGAGTTTCTTTGCCGAAAATGGCTCTGACAGTGAGTGCACATGACCCCACCTGCATCTCACCACTGACTTGCACCGCTTTGCGGGCCAGTGGCTCGGCTGCCAGTCATTGTACGAGCCTGCGAGTAGGCTCATTCGAAAGAGCGTGAGTTCCTTGACACGAAGGTGTGCAAAAGAATTGAGTATGGGAAGAACCGGAGATTTGGCGGATGGGGTGATAAAGCGCAGCCTTAGAGGCGAATGGAGTGAAAGCTCTTATCAACATCAGAACAGTCTTAGAGCTCCGAAATGGGTCTATTGCAAAAAAATTAACGGTTTTAAACTTCCAGGATGGCACTGGTGGGGAAAGGAGCTTTGCTCAACCTCAACTTAAAAATCCTCAACCTACAACTGAAGCTGCGCTTTGTCACCCCATCCGCCAAATCTCCGGGATATCTCAAATCCAGCTCATTCACCATCGTGTCGAGGAACTCACGCTCTTTCGAATGAGCTTACCTGCAGGCTCGTAGAGTGACTGGCGGCCGAGCTACAGGCCTGCAAAGCAGCGCAAGTCAGCGTTGAGATGCAGGTGGGGTCATGTGCACTCACTGTCAAGAGCCATTTTCAGCAAAGAAACTCGATAGCACACGTCGGATGCATAGAATATATCAAAAGGCATCCGTTTTATCCAATTAGCTTTGTTGGGATATCTTGAATAGGTTCCCATGCGAAGAAATTTGCCTTAAAAGGGGAATTAGAAGTTATTTTTGAAAAAGAAAGCAAAATAAAATTCAAGCTTGGATTTTTTGGAAGTAACCACTACCCGACTGTTGTCCTCGATGACTCTACAACATAGTGTGCTTACCTGTTTGAGAAACTTCTGTTTTTGCCCCAGGAAAAGATCTAAAAGAAATTTTTCGCGTTCGAAGAATTAATGTCCGCGACATTGTGACGCGGCCATTTCCGTACTTTTTCTAGGAAAAAATTTTTGAAATTTTTATAATAAACATTTTCCAGAAGGCGCAATTTGTGAGTTGTAGCTCTTGAAGAGCTCTATCACCTCATGCAATCCAATCATTTTTTCATTTTTGTTTTCCATCCGGAAATGAGCGATGAAAAAAGGAAGGCGGCTTGTCCGCAACTTTTTGGCGGTCACTGTATGTAAGGTAATGGATGTACGAAATTTCACTCAAGCAAGCAGAGTGATGAATGAGCAGTTTCAAGATGTTGGCCAGCTAACAAGTGCCTAAAATCCGATTCTAACACAAATTTGAGATTTAGCAAAACTTTGTTATGTCTATCATCTGTTAAGGTGAGCCTAGCTTCATTTTGATTTTTGATTGTTTCGACGGTGCAGCTTTCCATCGCCCCCTAACCACCCCAACTGGGAAGGGGGTCCGACAGGGCGACAATATTTTGCTGAACCGCAGCCTTGCAGTGGGTGATGAAGTCACTGGACTGGGACGAGAGAGGCATACGAGTTAAAGGGAGGTTCCTGTCTATTCTTCTTTTTGCTTACGATATCGTTCTCTTTTCAAGCAGTATCACTGAAGCAGAAGCGATGCTGAAGGAACTGAACGAAGTAGGGAAGAAGATCGGATTGCGAATAAACTGGAAAAAGACTCAGTTCATGAGGAACGCCCTTTGCGAAGATGCAGTAATGAAAATGGAAGGCACCCCTATTATGGAGACGTCTTCTTACGTGTATCTCGGACGTTCGATGAACACGGAGAACGACTTGAGGGAAGAACTTAACAGGAGAAGAAAAGCAGCCTGGGCCGCCTTCGGGCCGCTGAAGGAAGCCACCGACCAACTGACGGACCCGGAGCTTCGTGCCCACCTGTTCGACTCAACCGTTCTCCCGGCGCTCTGTTACGTAGCTGAGACCGATAGTGTAGCCACATCAAAAACTGCATGTACCACCCACACAGCGCTTGAGCGCAGTCTTTTGAAGATGACCCGACACACACAATATCTTGTCGGACTTCGCAGTACGGATTTGAGAAAAAGTTCCGTCTTCACGTCCCAGCAGAATACGTTGCGAAAGAGAAACACCGATGGGCCGGTCACATCATGAGAAGAACAGGCGACAGAACAGACGACAGATGGACACTAAGAACATTTGAGTGGATTCCTCGCGAACGGAACGTCCTCGAGGAAGACCTGCACCGAGATGGGCAGAGTGTCCGTGGAACGGACGGATCAGCTGAGAAGTCAGCTGAATACGATTTTCGCCCCTGGAACTCATGTACGCAACCACCTGAATTTTCGAAATATTTTAAAAATTGTTTTAATCATTTACAAGTATAAACAAGTCACTTGCACTTTTATAACCCATATAAGTGGTGCGCAGTTTGTTTGGATTGGTACTTAAACTTCTGACCTATTCTTACATGCCAAAGCATACAAGAATAGGTCAGAAGCAAGTACTTTGAGGTCTCATTACATATCTAAAGGCTCACACTACAGCCAGTCATAAGATTTTGCATGGGAGAGAATGAGTGCTTTCTCAACGGTATCTTATAGAAAATTTGAGAGATGAAGCAGTTATGTAGTAACCAGTGCGTCACCTCTGCTTCGCAGAGGCTCGCACTGGCTCTACTATCTATGTGTCCTTACTCATTCTCGTAAAATCGTGGCACTGGAACTCATCGTGCTATGCCGACTACCACGAATGAAATGTAAACAACTACTCATTTAGAAAGCTTTTTCACGTGAGATCGGTAATTTCGCCTGAAAAAAACTTTTCGCAGGAAGACAAAGCCAAATTTGAAGAGGTTTTTGAATTTGTCATGGTTTGATAGTCGCCATAAAGGCAGTAGTCAACGTGAGCTACATCTCTGTGCGAAAATCTTCTCAAATGCTTTTCTAGAACCTTGGCAAATTGACCATTTACGCAAGCAATACTTTTTGGCGCCGTTTTTGTAAAGTAATGGACTTTTGGTCACTTATTTGGCCTAAGTTCATGGCTTGCACATTTACTTGCCATAAACACCCACCACTCTGCAAAAAGTGGAATAACGGACACAATTTTGTGGGCCAAATGCAAAGTGGATCCGTTTGACTCACAATTTTCAAGAGACCCACTCAACGAATCTGCTTGTGCTTTTGCATGTTGGACTTTCATGCCAGTAGCAAGTGCTATGTCATCTTATCACGTATTCTAGTGGAGATCGTAGTTCACAAATAGACTTCTGGGCACTACGACACAATGATTTCAAGTATGTGAGAGATAGCAAAGTCATCCCCGGCGAAAACTGCGTACCTCAACACAGACCGCTGCTTCTAGACTTGAACATCCCTATCGATAGAAGAAGAAGGGCAATGACGGGAGGTAGGGAGCGCACCAAGTGGTGGAAGCTCAAGGACAACCCTCAAGCCAAAGCAGCAATGAAGTCAGCCCTGCCAAAGATGGAAGAAGAACCGGAACAATCATGGACACATCTGAAGAACAACGTCCATCAGATGGCAAGCAACCTACTAGGCCGCACGAAACCAGGAAGGCCGAAGCTTGAAAAAGAGACATGGTGGTGGAATGGTACCATACAAGAAGTGATCAAGAAGAAGAAGACGGCGTATAAGGTGTGGCAGAAGTCAGGAGAAGAAGACGCGCGTCAAGAATATCTGAATGCAAAACGTGCAGCAAAGAAGAGTGTCAGAGAGGCGAAAGAAGCTTACATGGCAGACGTCTACAGGAAGCTGCACACCCGTGAAGGCGAGCGAGAGATATATCGGATCGCAAAAAGAAGAGCGAAAGCCACTCAAGACACGGATCACTACCACAATATCAAGGATATCCATGGAAGAATCCTGATAAGACCCGAAGAGATAAGCGAACGATGGCGAACACACTTCGAAGCAATGGCATCTACAAGTTACGAAAAGTCATCTACAATAGTAGCTGAACCTGTACGAGGACCGGTAGCGAAGATCACAGAAGAAGAAGTCCGAAAAGCTATAGCGATGACGAAAAACGGCAAAGCAACAGGCCCAGACGACATCCCCACCGAGTTCTGGAAAGAGTGCGGACAAGCTGGAGTCGAATGGCTGACAATACTTCTCAACCGAATAGTAGAATGCAAGAAGATGCCCAACGATTGGTACACGAGCGCAACGATACCAGTATGGAAGAACAAGGGGGATATAGCAGACTGCTCTACATACCGACCTATACGTCTGATGAGCCATACGCTGAAGATATTCGAGAGAGTATTAGAAGCGAGACTTCGAGGAATCATAGAGCTGGCCCCCAATCAATGTGGATTCGTGAAAGGATATAGCACGACGGACGCCATCCACGCAACCAGAATCATGATTGAACGAAGCAGAGAAAGGCAAAGCCAACTACACGCCGCGTTCCTAGATCTCGAGAAGGCGTTCGACAAGGTACCCCACGAGATAATATGGTGGGCATTACGTAAACACTTGGTACCAGAGGACTACATACAATGGATACAAATGATCTACAAAGATGCCAGAAG